AGTTGCAAGTCCAGGTTGTTGCTCTAAGAGCTGAACAAGAAAGTTTTCACAATGTGTTCCACAATAATTATAATTCTATTGTGGTTAAAGGCAAAGGCTTATTTCCACTGACAGCACTTTCTAGATAACTGACTTTAATCTTTTAAATGTTTGGAGTTGTTTCTAATTTATTAGTCAAAATATTCAAATACTACAAACTTCAACTGCAACCTTAAGTTAGAATTTTCTTAAAATAACTTTAATTTGGGGACAATGAGATGGATCAGAGGCTGAAGATTTTTGCTGCCAAGTTGACAATGTATATTCAATCTCCAAGACTCACATGATAGAAGGAGAAAAAAAAAACTTCCTTTAGTTTAAGCTACGTTATGTAATATGCAATTGTGTTATGTAATATCAGATTAAAAACAAATAACTTTGTGATGAAAAATGGGGCCATGAATTTGAAAGAGAGCAAGAAGGGGTACATGGGATGATATAGAAAAAGGAAAGGTAAGAGGAAATGCTGTAATTATATTGTAACCTTAAAAAATTAAAAACATAAAATCTTAATCTTGTTTGATAAGCATATAAGAACATAAAGGTGTTCTGCTGTTCCACATAAGCTGGCCTCTGCCCTGGAAATGAGCACAGTTGATATGTTCACCCTAAATAAGCCCAGACTGCTGCACAACAACATTTTCTAATCACTGCTTCCTTTTTTCATCATAAGGAATTGACATCCCTGCAGTCATTGCTAGTGTGGCTGTCTTAATATTACTTCAACCTACTATCCACATTGTTTCTTCAAATCTACTGTTTTTTTTAAAGGGAGCACATATAAAACAAACTTTTGCAAAGATATAACTTTCAAATTAAGGCTGTGAGATCTGAGTGGTATTTATGAATTTGAAAAACTGAAGTTTGTTACATACACTTTCATTTTACTTCCTACTTAGAGTTCAGTTTCTCATATGAGATCAGTTGCTGCTCAAGGAACTGAGTAATACTTACCATGACTGTGATCTTAGGGAAGTCCCTAGGTAGAAGTTCTGGTTCTAAACTCTAGACTATAGTTACTAACCCAACACCAATCACATTTCCCTTGCCATCCATGCATATAGAACTGTTCTTTACCTGAGAATATATAGTAGTAACCATAAATTCATTTGTGATTATCTGATGTTTGCATTCTCCATTAAACTACCAAGCCCAGGAAAATAGGGACCATGACAAGTTGTGCTCACATTATAATCCTAGTCCCTAGTTTAGGAGGTACTCAACATTTCATAGTGCCCACTCATTTTGTGATGGATGACTGAAGTAATAACACATGGCATGTCCAAAGCCCAAAATTCTGTTCTCACTGGTGCTGCCTTGCATGATCTTGAACAAATACAAATCTTCTCTAATTTTCATTTGCTACATTCAGAAGAGAGACTTCAGCATAATGCTAAGTGTGTTCTTCATTCTTAGGTTTCCACTGTATCCAACCAAGGGAATACCAGATGTCAAGGACATAAGTCCAATGGAAAACTAGCAGGGCAGGAGTACCAAGAGTGGGCTGCTTAGCCTCAGAAAAGAACAAGAATGGCTCCTACTTCTCAGAAAAATGGTTACTTCTAAATTGATATATTCTTTGGGAAAGTGTGGAGGGAAAAAAGTTTCTTATGGAAACTCTCCTTTCCTTTCCCACATCTTACATGTGAGTTTAATATACACCAAGTTTATGAACTATATTCTCCATCCATCAGACTTTGTCTTTTAAATTTATATAGTTTATTTTTCAGAAATTTGCCTTTTGAATTTGAAAAAAAAAAAGAAATTTGAAAATGCTCCTTTGCCTGCCAGATGTGTTTGACCAAGCAGCACATTTTAGTGAAGGCATTGTTCCTTTGAAAGTACATCTTACAGTTCTAGGTTGGCCTTCGTATCTGCAAAGCAATGGTAGCTCCAGAAGAGAGCATCAGATTCCCCACACTAGAATTACAGACAGTGGTGAGCTGCCATGTGGATGCTGGGAATTGAACCTAGATCCTCTGGAAGAACAGCCAGTGCTCTTAATTGCTAAGCATGCTCTCCAGCCTGTAAAAGTGTAGCCCAGGATGGCCTCAAACTCATGATCCTCCTACTTCTGCCTCATCAGCATATGCTATGGGTGTGCACCACCACAACTGTGTTGTCTAAATCAGTCTGTTTTAGAGAATGTTTAAATCATTTAAATTAATTTTGTAAAAAATGAAGATTACAGAAATGGGGAGATATTTTTATGGCTGAAGAGAGATTTCAAAGGGATCTTCAAGTCCCACCTCCAGATATAATTATCATCCTCATGACAGTTCCAGTCCCTTAGAATACCATGAAAAAAACAAGTATACAAATATATTTCCTACACACTACTTTATAAGCAAAACCATCACTTGGATATCTTTTCTCTCGGGTGTGGCAAGTGAGTTCACTTTAGGAGAAAAAGTTAAAGGAGTACCATAAAATATGGTAATCAAAATAGTATTTCAATACACTTCTTTATTATCAAAAAGCAAAATGAATGAACAAGATATGAAATTTTTAATAAGGAAGGATCTGTATTATTGATTTTTTTCTTTTGCCTTAGGCTCCAATATGGTTCAGCTCAACACTTTCTTCCTTCTGTTTTGATACAAGACACCATGCATCTGTACAGTGGAATGTGCAAAGGAGGCCAATGTGCTTGCTACATGAGTCTGAGTCAGAGAAGCACTGGAGACTGAGCACCCAGGACCACAGCATCGAGACTGAACAAACAGTGCTTCTCAGGATAAAGAGGGTGGTTCCTATCTTAAGTTGTTCTGTCTCTCACTTGGTCTGGTAATTTTTAAAGAAAAGACATTTACATAGCTTACAGTTCTGTAGGTACAAGAGCATGGCACCAGCATTTGTGTGGAGCTTCTAAAGTGAGGGTACCTGCTGCTCCATGGGGAAAGATGGAAGGGAAGCAGAAGCAGGTTCTTACAGAAGAGATGACATGGGCAGAAAAAGAAGCAACAGAAAGCCAATTTCCTTGTATTAACTAACATCCTTGGGGTAACTATATTAATCCCTTTGTGAATGTAGAGCACCCACAACCTAATTACCTCTTAAAGATCCCCCAAAACTCTCAACATTGTCATATTGGAGGCTAAGCCTCAACATGAGTTTTGGTGATGACAAACCACATCGAAATTATAACAGTTCCCAAAGGTCAATAAAAAGAGGCTCTCACTGGAGCAGAGGCTATCCTCCACTCTGTTAACTACTATTTTCACTCTGCACACAGAAACGGCACAGCCCAGTATATGGTGCTCACATTTCTCCAAGAACTCATTCCACTTTGCATTGGAGAATCCCACAGTGTAACTGTGAAATCCTCCACTTCTAAACATCCCTTTAGTAATAGAGGCCATTTCATTAAAAACAAACAACAACAACAACAAAAATAAAAAACAGTATTGATCAGTGTCTGCCCATGGAAAGAGCAAATGCTGTGAATGAAAGAAAGGATGTAGTGAGCTATTTATCTTTGCTGAGCACTGGCAAAACAATTGGTTCCAGAGAAGGTTCTGTGTCCTTCCTTGGCTCTTAATCCTTAAGAGTCCGTGGAGAAGACATGCCATCAGGGCTGTCAATCAGATGGGGCGGTAACAGGTGATTCTGCACTCTCTACTACGGTAGCAGGGAAAGAAGAAATGATTACTTAATCAATGCAAATTGGAGAATATTTCTATAATTGAAATCAATCTTTTAAAAATAAGCAATGAAAGGGAGTCCCTCTTGAACGGAGCGCCTGTGTAGCACAACTGCTGCGGCCAAACTAAACACTTCAAGCCTTAAAATGACGTCAGGAAGGAAGCAGGGCTGATATCAAGTATGTAGCAGGTAATATTATCCTGCTCCCAGTGCTCCAACATTACTGTTCCCCAACTGCAACATCAATATCCATCCTGGGAAGGCTGTTTGGTGATAATAACTCACCATTATTTTTCTAATCTATTAGAAGATAATTAAATTAAAGAATCTTTCAAGATAACATACTAAGCATTTTTAACAGGCAGTAGGTGGGTAGTCTGTGGGTGGGGATCTTGCAGAAACAAAACAAAACTCTGTAGGGACTTTGTTGTTCTTATCCACCCAAGTATCTTCGCTGTAAAGGACACGTGCACAGCGTAGCCTTTCAATAATAACTGTATGAGTAAAACTTAAGCTAATGAGGACTATTAAACTTTTGCCAATGCTGAATCATAATCGGAAGGCAGCTTGTCAATAGTCTCAAGCCTGGCAGGGCCTGTGTTGCAAGCAATTGCCCAATAGAAAACAGGATTGTGGGCTGAACTAACAATATAAAATCATTGCTGCCTCCAGAGAGACGAAAACTTGAGTAGTCAGTGCTGTAGCTGATAAGAGAGGTCTCTGAGATTACTAATAAAAAACCAATTCGGGGTGCAAGAGAAGGGTGAAAAGATAGGTGACGTGAACTAATCAGAATCCTCAAAGGATCCGCAAAGAAATGCCTCATAACAAAAGGTGAAATTGTAGACGAGTGAAGCAAAATACAGCGAGGTTATTTTCTTTTCCTATTGATATGGGGACTCTCTAATGGAAGTTTTGGATATTATCAGACCTAGTTAAAGACTGCAGTTCTGATAACCTCTTCACCATCCATAGACTGAAATAAACAGACCGGGCAACTGTAAAGACATGTCAAGGACCGGCATCCAGAGAGACAAGAAGCACCTAGCCCAGAGAGCAAAGTTCCCATGACCAGCCTACTGACAACATTCTGGAAAGGGGCCCTAGGGCTGCGTGCCCGCGATGGTGGCATGGTGGCGCTCACCGCCGGCCAAGGCAAATCCAAAGGTTTGCAAATGGCACTCTGAGCAGGGAAGATCCTGGAGGTGGCTGACCCAAAGGGCGCTGAGCCCACACTCAACGAACCAATGGCCGTGGAGATAGGGCGGGCCGTCGAGGCATCGGGCCAATGGGAGGGCGGCAGGGCTGGAGGGCGCCCCGGCCTCAGCGCCATGGTTTGCTGCCTATCCCGGGCCGATGTGGGAGCCACCCGGAGTCCAGGCGTGTGCAGCGGCGCTCGCGGGCGCTCTCCTCCTGGTGCTTTCCGTGCTGGTGGTCCGCCAGCTCCTGAGGCAGCGGCGACCGGCGGGCTTCCCCCCGGGGCCACCGCGGCTGCCATTCATTGGCAACATCGGCTCCCTGGCCATGTCTGCCGAGCTCCCCCACGTCTACATGAGGAGGCAGAGCCGGGTATATGGCGAGGTAGGCCGCGATGCAGACCTTCCTCCCGTCAGAAGCAGCGGCCAGAGACCCCCGTGGGCCTGCCGTCCGTCCAGGGCAACCCGCTTCGAGGGTCGCGCCTCCAACCGGAAGCCGCCTCACCGCTACCACACTAGGGGCGCTTCGGGTTGAGTTTCCCGCCCACGGGCGAGCGCCTGCGCGTGCGCTGTGTGACTTTTAGCTTGTCCAAGATGCCTGCCCTTCAGCTGCCTCTTACAGAAACTTCTTGGTCCTGTGGCCCCCGAGCTTGCTTGCGCGGGGGTGGGG